AAACATGACAACCAAATGTTTGACATCTGTTGTGGGTCTTAACAGTAATAGAAACATGTCAACCAAATGTTCGTGAACGTTTTCATGATTCATGTTTACTTATGTTGACATGATCAGATACATAAAACTTTGAATATTATTCGTATAGAATCAAAACACATGAAAATAAATACTAATGAAAAATCATATACGATGTTTTCTTTTTACATTAAAAACCCGATAAATCTAGAAAACCAATCTATATCAACATAACCGAAACTTGGAAAACTGTCACCAACCTTTGCCAATTAACCATAACCAATCAGACGTCACCCCTGCAAAAAGACCACCGACAAGAAACAGCACGAGTATGTTCCCCAATGCATTTTGTTCCGGGCCCTACAAAACAACGATAATTTATAACCGGTAAGAAAAGAAACACAAGGTAAAATTTTGAGCGATTAATTTTCAACAGTCGTGCTTCTCGACTAAGTGGATTTATTGCAGGGTGATCGGTCAAAATAGTCATTTCGCTATTTACTTTATTGTAGAATCATCGACTATCAAACTCGTTAAAGACTAATGGTTGCTATAGATTTGTCGAAAACGAACCTTGTAGCCTTTTGGAGCAGCGGTAAGGACACAAACGGTAAGGTAACCATTAGATAACCCCAAAAACGACGTCAAAAATATCATCCAGCCCTGATCGGCATATTTAGCCGTGAAATAGAATGCCGGGATGAGGAGAAATCTTGCGATAACCACTATCATGAGTCCGCTCCGTGACTCCAACTTCACGCATTCGATGAGTGGGACATATCGTCCAACGAGATCCCACACATTGTACATCGCAATCAGAACAAGTGCGTACCATGAACCCAAGCTATGCGATCCAGTGTCTTCCGATAAGAACCCAGGGAAAATAGATAGCGTTAGAAGGTATATTAGAAACATATCCATCGCGTAATCGATATTTTCCACCAACAATTGCTTGTTGCTCAATCTTTCCTGTTTTGTAGAGTTATCATCCGGCTGCAAATTAAACCCGATTGGAAATTAGCAAATCGTGTGGATCGTTTCACAAGAGACTATATATCGAGAAATTAAACATGAAGAATAAATACCGCTACAGAATGTGAGTGAATGCCACCAGCAGCAAGATCAGCTGAAACCGTTTTAGACCCTTCGGAAGCTGCCTTTGAGCGGTAGTATTTCACTATCGAAAGCTTTGGGAAAACGAAGGCGTAGAGAAAAACGCAAAGCAGCTCGAAGATTGTGCATAACACGAAGAATAGAACTGCAAAACCAAGGATCTTTCCATTTTTAGCAAGTCCTAAGAACAGTATACTTGCCATTGTAGGAAAGTTAACAGAAAATTAAGAAAAAGAACCTACTGGCTCCCTTCCGTAATCCGTTTTGCGAATTATCAAACACTGCTTTCGTAATCAATCTCAGACTGGAGGTAATTGCTCCTGATGCAGCAAGACCGGCTACAAACGACTAAAAAGACTCCAACAACAAAAGAATCATCGGACAACGTTGTAAACAAAACTAAAGATTTTCAAATACTACATAAAAAGTTACTAACTTGAATGAAATCCGGCATCATGTAAGACAGATCTCCGACCATCCCACCTTGCACATTAGCATCCGCTAACCCAAAGGCGGCACTTACTGTGCACACGCCGATGAAAGTTCCAATCCCTCCTTTACCAGATGTCGCTAAATTCAACTACGAAATGCACAAAAGCCATACAAAGATGTTACTTTCGATCTTCCAATGGCAAAATCATCAAGATAGAAACCAAACCAGAGGAACCCGGTAATATCCCTAAGATTTGCACCATTGGTTTTGAACCCTTTCCTTCGATTTTAGCATCTTTTCGATCAATTCATACGAAAGGAGGAATGACAGAAAAACTTACGACTAAAATGGCGAGCGTACCGAAGAAGAAAAGAGTGTATCCAAATAAGTTTCGTTTTCGGGTATTTACATTTGCTTCATGGTATGCAAGTACTGCAAGCGTTATAAGGGCGAATGGCTGATACACCAGTGTGAGGACTCTTGAAGGATGATAGTCCTGCACAAAATCATACAAAAATGCCAAACCATTTGAGCTTTGATCATCAAACTAACTACTGTTTTAGTCGAGATTTATGATGGGTTTTTTCCCTTTTTGTAGATTAAACTTGGATTACATTCAAGTTCAAGAACTAATTGGACATAAACATCTAACAATCCACTGTAATCTGAATGCAAAAATCATTAAAGTTTGATGCTTGAATCAAAAGTTTAGCTTTTTAGAGAGTAATCAAGATTAAGAGATTACCGGATACAGATTAACATAGTAATCTTCTATTGTCAACATACTATTCCAAGAAAACAAACACCCAATTCCAAGAAGCCAACACACCACCATCGCAGTAGACTTTCCCTGCAAATCAACAGTTTTACCCAGAATTCATTCAAAGATTAACGGACTTAAACACCAAAAATTACCAAATAAACCGAAGGAATCTGCTACCTCAAGCCTTGTTGGAGCCCCTTTCTCGTCTGGCATTGATGCTGATGCAGCTTCCATTGAAGCAGTCTGCTTACAATCTGTTTGACAAAATTCCCCAGAGGCAATTCTTCTATTACCTCCTGATTATTTCAAAACCCAAAATCAATGTGCACACAGAAACATGAAACAAATGAATTCCATGGCAAAAGTAAAGAAATTTATGGTACCAAATTGAGGATCCAGAGAAATTGTGGATCTTATTATGTTGTTGGAGATGGGTTGCAGAGATCCATTATTTATGTACGCTACTCAGCGACTTCGTTGCGAGAATCTTGCGTGATGGTATCGATCCATTAGTGTTTCTTAACAAGTTTGTATGTGATTTTTGAATTCAAGGAAGCCACCAATCACGTGTAAACAAGGGAACATGTCAACTGCCGTTTAACCCTTATACATGTTAGTGGAAGTTTATCTAATAATATATATTTTTTTAGAATGCAAAAAAAAAATCTAATAATATATTACTAGTATTATAAATTAAATCCAAAAAATATTTAATATTGAAATTATTTTAAAGGTATTAATAATAT